AGTGAAAATATGTAATAATCTCATTAATTTCAAAAGTGCATTCAGGGCTTCCCTGGTGGCGTAGTGGTTGGGAGTCCGCCTGCCGATGCAGGGGACACAGGTTCGTGCCCCGGTCCAGGAAGATCCCACATGCTGCGGAGCGGCTAGGCCCGTGAGCCATGGCCTCTGAGCCTGCGCGTCCGGAGCCTGTGCTCCGCAACGGGAGAGGCCACAGCAGTGAGAGGCCCGCATACTGCAAAAAAACAAAACAAAACAAAACTAACAAACAAAAAAATGCATTCAATCAATTCAACTTCTAACTTCTACAAACCACTTAAAAAGGAATGTATAAAATGACCATTCCTGAACCTGATAAGGAAGATTGAGTTCATACAGTCCACTGGCATTATACTTTATTGGAGCCTCATAAAGGTATCATTGCATATGACTGAGATCAAAGCAAAAAGCCAATGCAGAAAGTTATAAAAACAGTAACTTTAGAGAATAAATACTGTAAAGAAAAGAATAAAATAATCATTAACTACAGATTGCTTAGTTGTAAACCAAGAAGAGTTAAAGAGATTAACTGAAGACCTTATTTCTAAATGGTGAGATTAAAATTCAGGATTTGGATACTTCTGGAATTAGTTCGTGAGTCTAATGCCATTCCTCTCAAAGTCCCATCAAGATTTTTAAAAATTTCACCAGATGGTTTTAAGTCTGTTTGGAAAAATAAGTAGATGAGAACCTCAAGGGGAATTATGAAAATGGTTTTGGGGGGAAGGGAATTAGATCTATTGGATATTAAAATATGTAGTCCTACCAGATATTAAAATGCATTATGAAGCCTTTGTAATTAAAACACTGTGGGGCCGGCAGAAGAGGAGGAAGTAGATAAGTGAACTAGGACAGTTCAGAAATAGACTCTTGCAGAAATAATGTAATAAATCATAAAGAAGGCATCGCAAATCAATGGGGAAAGGAAAATTATTCAATAAATAATTTTGATGTCTAGCAATTTGGAAAAAAATCATTTGACTTCATCAAAATGAATTGCAGGTGAATCAAACAATTAAGTGCAAAATGTAGATGCATAGGAAATCAGTAGAATTGAATATTGCTTGGAAACAAAAGAAAAACACTCAAAAAGGGAAAGCATAGTCCATCAAGTTACAGGATAATCAAAGATTTCTTTACGTAAAAAACCAGTGGGGAAACAATAGCCTGGGAAAAAATTTGCGGTAACATGACGGAATTAATCTTTGTTATGTGAAATGCTCAACAAATTAAAAAGAAAGGTACTAAAACCTTGGTAGAGCACTTGAATAACATTATATTTAATAACACTATTATATTTAATAACACTAAACAAGTATATGGAAAATGTTCAATTTTGTAATAAGAGATATGTCGATTAAAACAGCAGTAAAGTACTATTTTAACATATTAGCAAAAGAACCCTTTTTTTTTTTTTTTTTTTGCGGTACGTGGGCCTCTCACTGTTGTGGCCTCTCCCGTTGCGGAGCACAGGCTCCGGACGCGCAGGCTCAGCGGCCATGGCTTACGGGCCCAGCCGCTCCGCAGCATGTGGGATCTTCCCAGACCGGGGCACGAACCCGTGTCCCCTGCATCGGCAGGCGGACTCTCAACCATTGCGCCACCAGGGAAGCCCCAAGAACCCGTTTTTAATGATAATCCCCAATTCTGATGTCATTACAATATTATGAAACAGTTTTACAGTGTAATAAAGAATCATGTTATTCATTCATCTATTTGATCCAGTAATACCACTTCTGTGGACCATCTTCCCACATCCCTCCATGAAGGAAATAATACAAAATATTTAATATGCTGTTTAGACAATGATGCTTCCCTGATGCATTATTTACAAAGCAAACTCACACACACTCACACCATTAATGTCCAACAGTTGGGTAACTATAAAATTAAATAGTTCTTCTCTCAGCATAATACTCTACTACAATGAATAATTATTTTGAAGATACATAGCATTGTGACAAGATATTTACAGTATAATTTTATGTGCAGAAATTGCAGTACACACTGTGGCATAGTCTTACTGTGGAATGTAGCTATATTAGCTGTGCTGTTAAAATGAATGAACCATAGCAGCTGTGACAACACAGAAGGCTCTCAGGAACATAACGTTAAGTAAAAAAGCAAGATGTAGAATAGCTGCAGTGTGATTCCAATTACATAAGGTTCAGATGCATGCAAAACCAATGATACAGTTTTTAGACATCCACGTGCATGTGGCAATACCTATAAGACTACGTGAACATAGACAGAGATTCAAGATAGTGACGGGAGGCGAGGCTAGGAAGAGGGAGCAGCCATAGAGGCTGTGTAGGGGATTAGTAAAGTTCTCTTCCTCAAGCTGCGCTATGGACACAGTATATTTATTATTGCTATTTTTTATACCCTTACCATAAGCTACAAATATTTTAAATGTATTTAATGTTAATGAAAGGGATATTAAAACCAGTATTCACGGATTACAATTTGGTCCAAAATATTATCCCTAATAAAGATGGTACAGAGTGTATAGGTAACAATGACTCTGTTAGAGGGGTGAAATTAAGAGTGGTTCCTTCTTTCATTTTCTCTCATTTCCAAATTTTCAATTATGTGCTTACCTTACATTATTTTTAAAAGAAAGAAAGGAAAATTGAAGACAATTGCAATTATAGGATGATGTAAGCTTCCAGTGGAGGGTGTGCCATTGCTCAGAGGATGGTGGACTTCAGCACTGAGGCAGAAGGGGAGATGGATTTAAACTGTAAAAGCAGTGTGTTTGGAAAATAAATCAGACCATCAGTAGTCACTGAGCATCCTTCCTGTGAAGAAGCATTGGTTTAGCCTGCCTTCCAAAAAAACTTTTGGATACTGCGTTTTAATGAATTGCTAAAATGGATGAATTAGGAAGACTGGTGTTTCTTTGAGTTCCTTTAAAATTTTTTTAAGCTTTATTGTTTTGTCTGCTTATAAAAATAATACAGTTGATTTGAAATAATCTTATAAAAAATATAATAGAACCTGAAGTTGATTAGACACTAAAACTAAATCTCAGTTGAAATGAAATACAGGGAATAGAGGAACCTGGTAAAAGACACCATGGGGATGCAATCAGGAAGTTCTTGGGCCTATGACCCATATGTTTCTCAATAAATAAAATGGCCTGGAAAAGGATGGCGGGGCACTATATAATAAACTTTAAAAGAGACAAAAGACATACCAGCCAGGTGCAAATGTAAATCTTGTTTGGATCCTGATTTAAATAAACCAACTGTAAAAAGGCATTTATGAGATAATTGGGGAAATTGGGACACTGACTGGATATTTGATATTAAGAAATTACTAATACTTACGTGTGATTTGTTATTATGGGTATGTTTTAAAGATACATGCTAAAGCATTTATTCGCAAATGAAATATCAGATATTTACTCTAAAATAATACAATGGAGAGTCTGAGTATGTTAACTATAAAAAGTCCTTATGTCTCATGTATATATGACATATCCAGGATTTACATTAAAATAATCCAGGGGTAGGAGGCGTAGAGTGGTATGGATGAAATAAAGTCAGCCATGTGTGATAATAGGAGCTGGGCAATGGGTAAATATATTCTTGCTACTTTTGTATATGTTTATTATTTTTTTCATAATAAATCATAGAAATAAAATTTATATATTTTCATGGTTGAAAACATATAAAATATAGAAAAGTATAAAAAAGGAAATGAAAGTCACCCATAGTTCCACCCCTTGGAGAGAACAACATTTTGATAAAAATCCTTCTATATTTTTCCTTATGCACTTACAACATAAGTTCTTATACATATATACTTTTAAGCAATTAAGAAATTATACTATCTGTATTGTTTTGTATACTGCTTTTTTATATTGTGGGCATTGTACTTCAGTACATTTAGATATTCATCATAATTTTAAATTATTCTAATATGTGAATATACACACAGATGCCATGATTTATTTATCTAACAGGTACCTCACAGATGGTATCTAAGTTGTTTCATCTTTTTTCCCCATTAAAGCGATTCTGCATACTTGTTTACTTCTTTTGACAAATATGTGGACAAAGTCTTTTTTAAAGGCTTTTTTTCTATCATGCCCAAGTATTTGTTAAAAATATGATACCATTTTGAACTCCCTCCATTTCATCATAATTTCAGCCACATTGAATGCTATATTCACAATATTTTAAATATTTGCCAATCTGATAGAAGGATAAAGATGATCTTAATTTGCATTTATTTGGTTATTAGTGAGCTTGAAAGTCTTTTTATAAGTGTATGTTAGTATTTTTTATTTTGTGACTAGGTGTTTATATCTTTTCCCCCAGTTATTGTATGTATCCCTCACTTGTTTCATAAGTGCTCTTTACATATTAAAGGTTACTAATAATTCATATATTGTATAAATTGCAGTATTTCCTAGTTTGTTTTCATTTAACTTTGGATCATTTTTGAACAATCATTTGTCTGGAATTGTTTTAGTAGATTTTTAAATGTTATACATCTAGATTTCTTTTCTTTGAGTCTTTATAATTTTCTACATTTTAATTTTTGTAACCTTATTCAGTACTTTATTGAGAGTTTTCATTATATAGCATTGCCCTCTAAAGTCTGCTTTTTTATTTAATATATTTTTTGGGGGGGGGCCACACCTCACGGCATGCAGGATCTTAGTTCCCCGGCCAGGGATAGGACCCTTGTCCCCTGCAGTGGAAGCATGGCGTCTTAACTGCTGGACCTTCAGGGAAGTCCCTTTTTTTTTTTTCTTTTTTTTTTTTATGGCGGTACGTGGACCTCTCACTGTTGTGGCCTCTCCCATTGTGGAGCACAGGCTCCAGACATGCCGGCTCAGCGGCCATGGCTCATGGGCCCAGTTGCTCCGCGGCACGTGGGATCCTCCCGGACCGGGGCACGAACCCGTATCCCCTGCATCGGCAGGCGGACTCTCAATCACTGCACCACCAGGGAAGCCCCCTATTTTTTAATATTTTTATTGGTTATAAAATAAGACATGTTTGTGGTGGAAAGAATACACTTTTGAAAATAATTTACCTTATACTCTGTCGTACAGTGCATCAGATTAAATTTGGTAGTTTACCTTTCAGTAATTTTTCTATATGTGTGTATTAGTTAGAGTAACACTTACTGAAGAAACAATTAAAACTCCAAATTATAACTTAACACAGTAGAGGTTTATTTTTTACTCAGTCCAACATAGGTGCTCCTGATTGGTGGTCAGCCCTCCAATGAGTGATTCAGAGGCCCAGGCTCATTCCATCTTATGGCTCTTTCATTCCCTAGGGCTTTGGGGTCCTCTGCATCTAGTTGGCAGATGGAGGAAGAAATCACGGAGAAGGCACATCACTTTCTAATCACCTTAGCCTGGAGGTGCTGCACATCACTTCTGTCTGTATTCCATTGGTGGGAATAGTAACATGGTGCCATGGGGATACAAGGGATGCTGGGAAATGAAGTCCTTGGCTGGGCAGCCACTTTCCAGTGAAAACTCTACACTCTGAAAAGGAGTGTGAATATTTGTTGGATATTTAGCTGAATCTGCCGCCATTTATCAAACTTATAGTGCAATAAATTTGCATTTATAATGCATATAAGTATATATTATACACATATAAATATATATTGCATTTATAATGCATATAAAATATGTGATATATATTTTCTTTACAAAATGGAATTATCCTATTAAGGGTGTTGAATTTTAGCATCATTTTGTGAGCATTCCCCTGTGTCTTTAAAGTTTTCAAAAACATGAGTTTTAATGTCTACATATTATTCCTTGTATTGATAATATCATAATTCATTTTGCCATTTTTCTGTATAGTAGTTAGGTTTTTCTAGATTTTTGTTATTATGAATAGTGCTGCTGTAACTGCCCTTGTACGTATATCTTTGAATATTCCTCTGATCATTTCCTCAGGGAAGATACTTGCTTAGTGTTAAGGCTGGTGATACATCTTACCAGATGGGCCTTCAGAGATGTGGACTAATTTACACTCTCGTCAGTGGTGTTTGAGGATTCTTATTTCAAAGCACCCTTGACTGTCCTAGGCATTATACTTGGGTTTTGGTTTTTGCCAATTTGTTGAGAACAGTATTGCATTGTTTGAATTTGAAAGCTTTGCTTAGTAATAGGTGTGAACATTTTTTCATGAGGCCATTGGTAATCTTTGTGTGTGTGTATGTGAATTGCCTCTTTGCATCCTTTTTCATTTTTATTTTGCAGTGTTCCATCTTTTTTCAGTCACTGATAAGAGATTTTTATGCAGTATGTGTTAACTTGTCATACGTTACAAATATTTTTATCTAACTTCTCCTTGCCTCGATTTTGCTTCATAACCTAATTTTTTTGGATTAAACTCTATACTTGGAACCCTGATGTGTGATATCACACCCGCTGAATATGCCCAGTTAGCAGTACTGCTGAGATTAATACCATTTAAAAAAAGCAATGCAGATTCTTTTCTTCTGACCCATCATATGGTTTGAATGTTCTTAATGTGAATTTTAGTTATCTGGGAGTCAGGGGGTTGAAAGTAGTCATCAAGAAAATGGACTTGACAAGAAGGCTTTGGGGTGCTGGTCTAAGTCACCCATGGAGATACTGAGACCTACTTCTGTATCTTCCCAGGATACTTAGGAGAGGCAGGAAGACGTCAGATGGTATCTGACGACTCCGTGGTTTTAGCTAAGTGAGTAGCAGTGGAGTCTCAAAGGCCCTCTGGCTGTTTTTCATGTTAGGTCTTATTAAAAACACATGTAGTAGAGTGGCAGGGACCCAGACTAGGGGTCAGGGAGCTGAGCTGTAGTCCCAGCTCTGCCACTCACTGACTGCGACCCTGTGCAAGTCTCTTGTCCATCAATGCCTCAGTATACTCCACTGCAAAATGCAAGAGTTTGTTGTAGGTGGTGTTCTGGGTGCATGAATTCCAGGACTTTGCAGCGGGGTTCTCCACGAGGCCTCTTTTACATTTACCACCTGCTCTGACCTGTGTCAGGTGGGTGGGTGGGGACCGGGGAGAAGGTTAGTCTCTTTTGGTCTTTCGAGTGATTTATGAAAGAAATCAATTCAGTATATGTCTGTTCCAGATATAATGTGATCTAAATGTGATATTCACCTAATAAGATTACATGAATCTAATACGGTTTTCCTCTAAAACACAAATACTGTGCCACTTTTAATTGTAGTAGCTAAATTAAATTACTCATCCCAAATTAGATTTCCAGCCAACTTAATCTGAACATGAGCTCAGTACTGCAGGCCCTGTGTAATTTTTTAAGATATAAAATAAATCAGTGGGATACCTGTATTGTTCCTCTGGGCTCCTCAGTGGTTACCATGAAAGAGAATAAGTAAACACCTGGAAGAAGCCTGCAAAAGTAGAGCTGAGATGGAAACTGATTCTTCAGCTTATCATGGAGGGGTTTTTCCCCCTTCTATCTCTTCCATCACTAGGACCCTCACTGGTCTCAGAGGACAGGAAGCAAACAAAGGCAGGCCCAGTAATCACTGAAGACTCAACTGCTTATGATTGCCTTTCTTCTTTTTGTTCCTTGAGTGACCCCCTGAATGTGTTCACCCCCTCAGGAGGACAGAGGACACTAGGTAGGAAGCGAATCCCTGGGTAGTTTATGGATTTGGTGAGGGACTAGAGAGGTTTATAACATTCATTAGCCATATTTTCTCTCATTTTATGTCAGTTAGGTGACAGATGAACTGAAAGCCAGTCCAAACTGGTTTAAGCAAAAACAGAAAATGCATTGGCTGATGTGATGGAGTGCCCATCCTGGCATCAGGTGAGACTTTCTCAAAGGCTCAAATGAGGTGCCTCAGACACAGTTTCTCTCCTTCATTGCTAGTTCCTTTCTCAGGCATGACCTCCCCTTCTGCCCCCAAGATGTCAGCCCAGGGTCCCGTTCTCATCCAGTGGGAGAAAAAGCTTCCTTGATGGGTCAGCCAAAGGCTTGTAATTGAGTCTAGTTGCCCCTGGTTGGCTCGACTTAGATCCTGTGCTTTCCTGAACCAGTACCGTGTGGAGGGGATGGGATGAATGACTGCCTGGGGGACTCAGGGGACTGTTGGGAAAGTAGGGTAGGGAAGCTGGGGAGGCACCTCCAAATCCCACGACACTATAGAGGCATAGACTTCTGCTTTTCCCAGCATTCAGGCTTATGTTTTCTCACTTCAGTAAATGAGAAGTAGGTAGGTAGTACATGTTTGTGGATGAGGAAGTGAAGTCCACCGTGGGATCAACTCACCCAGGGCCTTGTCAGTGGTGGAGCTAGGACCAGGCTCAGTGTCTTATGAGTCTTCCATTTGTTTTCACTGTATCCTGCCTTCGTCCTACTGATCCCGTGCACGGTCTCCTCCTCACCGCCCCCGCCCCCCCATACCAACTCAGGGCTCTTCATTAAATAGACAGTCAGTCAATAGTTGTTAACTTCTTATTGACCAACCACTGCACCATCAGACCACACGTGGCCTTTCTATTCGTACTGTGTGAATATCATCACAGCAAACCAACAATGTGGTCGATTCCCAGTTATTAATTTGTAGATGGTCCCTAATAATTCAGTTTTCCTTTCCCTGAATTATGAAGTTCTTGTAACAGAAAGATGGAGTTTGGATCCCTTGAGGATAGACATACAGAGAGGGGCTGAGGGGTGTGTGTGTGTGTAGGAGCATGCACATGGATCTGCATTACAAAATTAAGTATGTTTCGATCCCCTGCCTCCTTAGCCTGGACGGCTGAAATTAGATCTGATGCCTGTCTTTCCACTTAAATGTAAATTACATTTGTGGAAGTCACCATTGGCAAGGTCCCCAAGTACTTAAACCAAAGACCTGTGAGTAGGTGTGCCATTTTGAAACATTTTGAGTAACGACCATACACTTGCTTTTTCATTTTTGGGGAAAAATCACAAGTGCCTATTGTCTTCTCCCTGCCTGGCAAACTCTCCCTCATCAGTTTTTCATCTCAGGTTTTACTTGTACTTCCTCTGGGAAGCTGTGGACTTTCTCCAGCTCTGTGTCTCTCTGTGCTGAAAGTCTGTATTCCAGGTTAGCACTTTGCCCTGTATCCTGTGGTACACTAATTGTGTCTTATGTATGGTTTTATCTCCTGAATCATTTGGTTCGCTCTTTCAGGTCAGTGCTTCGTCTTCCTGCCCTATCTTCCTTCCTTTCTTCTTTTTTTCCTTACTTTTCCTTCCTTCTTTTCTCCCCTCCTTCCTTCCTTTCTTTTCTTTCTTTCCTTTCTTCCTCCCCACTTCCCTCCCTCCCTCCCCTCCCTCCCTCCCTCCCTTCCTTCCTTCCTTTCTTTGCTTTCTTTCCTTTCTTTTCCTTCTTCCTCCCCCTTCCCTCCCTCCCCCCTCGCTCCCCCTCCCTCCTTCCCTCCTCCTCCCTCCCCCTCCCCCCTCCTTCCCCACTTCCTTCCTTCCTTTCTTTTCTTTCTTTCCTTTCTTTTCCTTCTTCCTCCCCTCCCTCCCTCCCTCCCTTCCTTTCTTTTCTTTCCTTTCTTTTCCTTCTTCCTCCCCCTTCCCTCCCTCCCCTCCCTCCCACTCCCTCCCTCCCTCCCCCTCCTCCCTCCCTCCCTTCCTTCTCTATAGCACTTACCTCCAGGCTAAAGTGAGGTGGGTTGGTGTTTGGTTCAGTAACTGGAGTAGGTGCCCCCACATCCCCATCATTGTACTTAGAATGGTTTTGCAGTTGTCTGGTTACTTGTCTCTATTCCCCCAGTACGGTTCTTGGCATCTGTTAAGGGCAGTGTGACTAAGTGTCGACTATTGAATGATTCTCCCCTTCTCTACACCAGCCCCACCCTGCCCCACACCACTGAACCGTAACTTCTTTGTGTTCTCCACGGTCCCGAACAGTGTCTGTCACACAGTAAATGCTCAGTAAGTCCTTGTTGAGTGAGTGGATTCTACCCCTCAGGACCTGCCTTGGGGGGAGGCAGATGGGAAATGAAGCTCTGAGAGGGCAGAGGGAGATGGAGACTGGACAGGGGTGCGTTCAGGAGCTGGGTGTGACAGCCCCTCTGCTGCTTCTGATTTCCGTGTACAGATGTGGCATTTCCCTAAGGGCGGAGCGCCATGTCTTCTCCCAGCTGGGCAGCTGGTGAGCCCAATGCCTGAGAAACAGTTGAGTAAAGGATAGTGGCTGTGGTTCTAGGTGTTATTTTAACAACAACAGTAAAGAATTTTCTCTGCTGCCTGAACCCTTTCAGACATTTGCATGGCTGAGATGAGAGGACTCAAGCTAGAAGGAGAGGCACATGGTCACGTCCGTATGTTGACCTCCTTATCCTTCCCATTGCCCTGGGGGTGCCAGTGGGCAGTGACAGGTCCACAAAGGAGGGAGGGAGAGCACCAAGGGGTCAGCAACCCCTTAGCATCCCCGAGTGACATGCTACCACTGGGCTGACCAACTCGTCCCGGTTTGCCTGGGGCTGTCCTGGTGTTCGTCCCGGAAGTCCTGAGTCCTGGGCCACCCTCCATCCTTGGCAAAACCAGGACAGATGGCCTCTTTAGATGCCGCTTGCTCCCTTCCCTACCCTGGCCAGCTCTCTTGATTTCTTTTCCCTTTTTGAGGTCCTTGCTTTGGCCTTTTTCCTCCTTTCTTTCTGTCTTTCCACCTCTGCTATTTCTACCCCAGCTCTTTCAAGCTAAGCCATGAGACTTGCCTGCATCTCAGAGGCCTTTCAGACCGTTTTCTGAATCACTGTGGGTTGACCAGAGTCCCTGGCTCAGGACACAGCTGCAAGTGTTGCCTTCTCTTCCTCTCTGGCTCCACTTGCCTCCTGAAATCAACCGAGCTGTGAAAGCTTCTGTCACTTCAAGGCAAAACTCATCTAGCTCGGGGAGCGTGTGCCCTCTCTGGGGGCGGCTCTCCGCACACATGCGGCGCTCAGAGCAGCAGGCTCTGCGTGCAAGTCAGGGCAGGGGAGGCGGCAGGGCGTGTGGCGGGCACTGAGGCCCACCTGCCTCGGCCCAGCCTCAGCCCTCAGCCCCTCTCTTGTGGGCGCACCACGGCCCGGCTCTCAGCGAGGCCTGGGTGCAGCCTGCCCTCTTCCCCGAAGCCTCCTTTCCCGCACTTACCGCTTTGTTCTCAGAACTCTTACTACTCGGCTAGTAAGTGCCGCTCCATTAAGGGTGATTGTTTTCTTCCGCCTTTCTCGTGTGTTAGCCCTTCCTTGAAGGCAGACGTCTCATCTTAGGTTGCCTTTCCTTCCACCTCACAGCACCTGGTCTTGCGGCGGGCCCACAGCTGGCCCTCACTTTGCACGTGTTGTTGTGGTCAGTGCCTCGGTGATTTGTGTGTGACGGAGCGTGTGAGTCCGTGGGTGGGTGCCCTGTGAGCCCCTGTATGCAGAACACGTCGGAGGCTGTGCCCGAGCCAGGCCCAGGGTCTTGGGTGGAATTCAGCCCTCCTGACTTCCTCTTTAACACAGGCATGAGAGAATGAGGCTTTTTTTTTTTTTTTAACTGCGAAGTGAATTTTTTTGTTGCAAAATACCTCACTTGATGTCTTAGATTTGCTTTACATGTTCTGGAAACTTCAGGTGTAATTTACAAATAATCACAGGATTAAACAATTCTGAGACTGCTCCAGAGAGGCAGGAAAGTGGGGTGGGGTTGGATCTGGGAGGAGTTCTGAAGGAGGGGCTGCCGAGTACCAGACCCTGTCGACCTAATCCTGTGATTTCTCTCGGCGTTGCTGATGGATGAGTGGGGATGCTGTGTGGCCCACCATCTGGGAGGTGGGTGCTCTGTGCTGCCACCAGTCCTGACCTCCTGCTTCAGTCGCTAATAACTAGTTGCATGCTTCGCTGTGTGTCTGCCCACAAGCGTGCACAAGTTTCTGCTGCAACACAAGTGTGTTCGTTTTCAACTATAAATAGGTTTAAAAACATATAGGAATAATGCATGGTCTTTGTAAAACATTTGGAAGGAAGTTAAAACTGTTTTTACTCCTACTCCTTAGAAACAGTCACAATGAACATTTTCATGTGTATCTTTCTAGATTTTTTTTCTGTGTCTTCACACATGTGCTCAGACACACACATGATATATTTACAGAGGTGGGATCAGGTTTTTTTGTTTTGTTTTGTTTTGTTTGCGGTACGTGGGCCTCTCAGTGCCCTGGCCTCTCCCGTTGCGGAGCACAGGTTCCGGACGTGCAGGCTTAGCAGCCATGGCTCACGGGCCCAGCCGCTTCATCTTCCCAGACCGGGGCACGAACCCGTGTCTCCTGCATCGGCAGGCGGACCCTCAACCACTCTGCCACCAGGGAAGCCCCGGTGGGATCGTTTTATATAAAATTCAGGGGCCTGCTCTCTTTTGCTTAACAAGATGTTACGGACATTTTTGCTATGTCAATAAAGATGAATTTGTCATTCATTCAGCAGATACTTACCGAGTGCCTGCCCACGTGTCTAGCACTGTTCTCAGTGCTGGGGGTAAAGCGTGGAACAAAAGAGATCAAATTCCTTGCCCTCCTGGAACCTATGGTCTTGTTGGGGAGACCAGCAATAAATAAATACGATACGTAGTAGGTTAGTAGGTGATAAGTGCTATGGGAAAAAATGAGATAAGGAAGGTGAGAGGGAGTGAGGGGGGTAAGGTGCATTTCGCGGTTTTAAACAGGGTGGTCAGGTGAGGGGGAGGCCTTTGAACCAGCATGGGGGCTATAATGTTTAGCGAACAGCGTGCACTACTGAGAGGCTGCCAGGGTGAGGTCCATAGTTGGGGCTGGAGGAGACACCAGCTGAGCCTTGGGAGCTCAGGGCAGGACGCACTCAGGTCCCCTGTGGTGGAAAATCCAGACTTGGGCATTCAGGCAGGGCCCTATGCCGGTCATTAACGATAAGAATGACCACTGTTTAGGTAACATGACAGAGTTTCAAAGCAGCTTCTTATCTATTATCCTGGTCCTGCTGCTTATTAGCTGCCCAACTTGGGGCACATAACCCACCCTCTCTGGGCCTCAGTTTCCTCCTTTGTGAAATAATAGGGTTCTCGTACAGTTTAAATGAGTTCATCCAAGTGCATATAGAGCAGTGCTGGGAAGACCTATTACCAAATAGTTCAGTTGTTATTATTATTGCCTTTCATTTATTAGTCGCGACAGTCCTGCGAGGAGGACACTGTGCTCAGTGTAGAGATGAGGAAGCTGAGGCTGGAGGAGGTTGGCCTCCGTAGTTAGCAAGTCCAGGGCACTAGTGGGTGGCGAGGTCTCCAGGTCCAGGCCCAGCTCTGTCCATGCAAACACCTGCCCTCCTCCAGGTGGGTGCAGCTGCTCCTGTTTCAGGCGGATGCCCCAGAGACACGGCCACTACCTTCCTGATTGCTGCATAGTCTCCTCAGAAGAGAAGCAGCTCTCGGGGTCGCCGGGGGCGGGGAGGGAGGGTGGCCTGGTTGGTCAAGGCGGAAAGAAGGAAGGGTGTGGAATTTCCACAAGGAAGAACTGAGACTCAGAAGCTCTGCTCGGCATCCCCACTGCTGTCCATTCGGTGTCAATGCGTCTTCTTCTCCCTCCCCTCCAATCTCCGTAAACACCAGCTTGTAACTATCCCTCTTAAGGACTTAGAGAGGGACGCGATCATTAGTGGCTTTGCTAGTTTTAAATTTCTGATTTTGAGAACCATCCCCGTTCTTGTGTCTGTGGGAGATGGTTGAAAAGCACCAGCACCACAAACACAACCAAACCCCATAACCATGATCCCTGGCCTCCTTCCCGATGGCCTCCGGGCAGCAGCCTCACAGCTCACCTGGTCCTGGCAGGCCTTCATGTGTGTAGGCCGTTGGACCTTTAGGACCACACACTTTAAAGGACCTGTGGGTCTGAACGGAGCTGGGGTGCCAGTGACTAGGGTCATTTCTCCCCTGAGGTCAACACCCCCATCCACCCCGCCACCCACAGGGACAACCTAGAGTAAAGGCAGCACCAGGTTTACTTTGTGTCTGGTTCTCTGAAATGGAGCGCAGAGTGTGTTACCGTGGAAACCATAATATAAATGGTGGCTGCGTGGAGTTAAAATAGCACTGTTAGTTTTATGCTGCAGGTACATTATGAGTTCAGAAGGCTTTTGTGGGCTGGCCTGGGAGTCTAACCATCATTTAAAATATGGTTTCTGTGGCTACATGCTGTCAAGATTCTGAACAATTACTTTTAAGCAGACCTTTAGAGCAAGTTGTTTGTAACCGGGAAATTGGCAGTCGGTAATTTATACGATATTTTCTTACCATCTCATGGGGTTTCTCCTGTCGCGGGACTGCTAAGCTCCCAGGAGGTCCTGTGGCAGATGGATGGAGCTGTGGCTCAACAGTAGCATGTTCAGAAACGGCGTCAGGGTGTTGGTATGAGCCAGTGCCTGGTGGAGCTGCCAGATGCTATAGCAGAGTAGAGAATCTGCCAGGAGCAAGGTAACTGGCATGGGGGGCATCCTTGGGTACCACACCCCAAGAGGGGCTTAGGTGGGTTGTTGTACGACTGGGACAGCACTCCAACTTTAAACCAAGTCATGTGAGTAACATATAAGGAAATTGGGCCTGGAAAAGGGAAGACTTGGGAGGAATTTAGTAACTGTGTTTCATTATTTGAAGCACCATAATGTGGTCCCCAAAAAGAGACTGATAAGAGAGACACTTTAGTAATTTAAGGAAGGAGCTTGGCAGCCAAAACTATTGAAGATAGGAAGAGTTGCTTTAAGAGGTAGTGAGTTCCCCATCATTAGAAGTATATAAGGAGAGGCTGGCTGGTTACTTGTGGAGGATACTCTAGAGGGGATTTAAGTTCTGGATGAGTGATTACTAGACTTCAAAAGTCTTTGCTAGCCTAGAGCTTCTATGATTCTAGGGCATAGATGGAAAATTAATTTTCTGACCCTCCTATTCAGGGTGATTAATAGTGGCTGCCTGGAGCAAAGGTGAGATGGCTTTGGAGCTGGCTCAGTCTGGAAGCAAGTAGGAGCTCGTTAATCGATTAGCAGTGTCTGCTATGGCAGGGGGCCATGTTGCAGGATGCCCAATATTAGCCATTGTCTTTCCAGTGGTCAGTGTCCAGTGATGAACTTGGACTCAAGTCAAGTAGAAGCAGGATGACCTGGTTTGTTTGGGATCAGCGGGGGTCTCCTGACCTGAACTTTGACTCCAAGACAATCCCAGTAAAACCAGGATGAATTGGTCACCCTCAGCAGAATGGATGGTCATCGGCGACTACATATTGGGTTCCATCTCTACTGATGGTGAAGATGTCAGGAGCATCTTCATCTTCTCAGAGCACGAGTGTGGGGCTCTGCCCTCAGTAGGAGCCCACTAGACACATGCAGAATAAATGAGTTGGATGCAGTTCCTAAGATATGGTTGCACTCTCCTTGCAATTAATTAATTTGTTTAATTAATTAAAATGACTTCACTAATTATATGTACAGGAGATTGCACATTTCATTTGTCTGAGCAGATGGCTCCACTAATAATTACGAAAGCCTGGGGTTGCAGGAAAGAGGGGTGTTGGCATATGAATTGATATTGAACACTTCAGTGCCATCCTTGCTACAAATAAAGTCGAAACTCCTATCCCCATTACGTCCAAGATGGATTGAGGAACAGATGTTTCATTTGCTTCTGGTAGTGCCGGGAGGTTGTGGTAACTTGCTTTTTGTGACTGGTGATCATTTTATTCATCAAACAGCTGGCTGTGGAAGGGGTGTGGGCTCCATGGCTTTGGAAGAAGTAGCTGAGTCAGGGTTAGATCTGGGGCCTCTGCATCATTCAGATAGCTGGCTAACCCACTGAATTGTGATGGTAAACCACATCTCCCAGAAGAGTAACAGGCACCTCATCTCCGAAGGGAACGTGCCTTCTTCTGCTACGTTATCCAGACCTTGCCCTGCCCTCACTCCGCTCCCATCCCTGGGGCCTTAGAATCTAAGGCAGACCCACGGACGTGCCAGAGAATGAAAACCCTGACCGGCTACACACACAGACCAGGCAGTACGTGCACTTAAGTGATTCTGCATCACATAGGTGAGTGAGTGTGTTTCTGGAGTATCCTCGCTATGGTGATAAGGAGGAAAATTATTGGTAATCGAGGAGTGTTGAGCATCCCAGCTGGGCCAGAAACTTCCCGCACTCTTTGTGTTTCTTAAAACAGCCCTGCAGGGCAAGTGTTAACTTACAGATGAGAAAATGAGGCTTGGAGAAGTTAAGTAAGATGCCTGGGGTCACACAAAGCTGGGTTCATGCCCAGAGCTTTCTATCTATAAAGCCTCTTGTTCTTTCCACCCCCTGCTCTGCTGGTAAATGATTTGGGGTCATGAAAGTCCCGTAGCCAAATCTGGAAGGATGTGATGGGAAGCCACCGGGCTGGGCTCACTCCTGCACACAAGCGGGGTACTCCTTGGGAGCCAGTCAC